AAATTATTATATATGCCTGAGTGTTTAAAAAAAAAAAAAGGAGCTAAAGTGAATAGAGAGAAATATTGTTAACTGATTTTACTTGGAGGGGATTAATATCATTGTAATGAAACAAAGTGTATGATTTGTTGAATGTAAAACTGATGATCTACCCTGTAAACTTTCACTCAATTCACAATAAAAACTTTAAAAACAAAAACAAAAACAAAAAACAGTTTTCATAAGCCCAGCTTACATGTACCAATTTACTTACAAGGCTAAAACTCTATGCTAGTTTGCTTTCTGACCCTTCTAATGTGGATGCTGTTGCTGCGAGTCATTGAGTTAGTTCTGACCTATAGTGGCCCTGTATAGGGTTTCCAAGGCTGTAAATCTTTACAAGAGCAGCCAGCCTCATCTTTCTCCCATGGAGCAGTTGGTGAATTTGAACTGCTTACCAGTTCAAATTGGCTAACAACCCAATCCATCACCTGCTATACTGCCAAGTCTCCATTATGTGGGCAAGAGCTGTCATTACCTAATTACAATGCTACTTTCAATCACTGGGTTCATTTGTACAAGTTACAGGAGTTTTTATTGCTACCAGAGTTGTTACAGTTGCTGACTTTGTCAAATTTTCTTGTGTTTTAGCTACATATTGTGGTAATTAGTATTTGTGTGTACCTGAGTAAATAACTTTTTTTGAGAATGAAATAGTAGATAAGTAAACAGAAGGAGGAATACCAAAAAAAACTTCCCCTCAATCAGTTACTAATAATGTTGTAACTAATAATTAATTCAAAATATTTTATAAAACAATTTTGTTGTTAATATTCATGTAATATAAGAAATAGTATATTTTAGCAATATAACATATTTATTACATATTATTAAAATTGATAATAAGGAGCTCTGGTAGTATAGTGGTTAGGAGTTGGGCTGCTAACCTCAAGGTCAGCAGTTCGAAACTGCTAGCTGCTCTGTGGGAGAAATATGAGGATTTCTGCTCCCGTAAAGATTTATGACCTTGAAAATCCTATACAGAGTCGCTATGAGCCAGAACCAACTCTCTGGCATATAACCAAACAAGCACCACCAAAATTGATAATAATCATTGCTAAGGAGTCTGTTTGATCTGAGAGGAAGAAGTCTATGACTGGGCATGGTAGGCAACATGAGTTAATCACTGAATGACACCAAACCTCATCATGCCACTGCAGATAGTGGGACAACTGTCATGTCTTTATTATCAGTAGCAGAACTCTATAGAAAGTTCTGTTTTAGGTCCCAACATGAGAACGGAATGGGAGAATCAATAAGGACTTGGTTTTATTTTATTTTTAGTTTGTAAAGTGACATACCACTGTTTTTAGATTATTATTTTTTTCTTTTAAGTAACCATCATATGGGAGAGTAGACATTATTTGTCATTTGAAAATCATTCTAATGATAATTTTAAAAGCTCCATGACTCTGGCTAGACCTCAGGCCCAGGCTTATGCATAGTGTTTTGGTAGCAAACTAAGCATTCCTTGCAACAGGATGTGAACTGTAACAGAATGTTTGAGGCCATATTAAATTGGGGTGATTTTCAGAAAGTGTCAAATGTTTTATGTTTCCTAAATCTAAAATGGGTTTTACCAGCTCTAAAAGACTGCCAAGTTATGTTATCACTTGCCTGCCTTGTAACTACTTCAATTATCTGCTTTCCTAGCCCTTTATGATGAGATTCGTCAGTTTCGCAAGGCCTGTGGGGAGGCTCATCTCAAAACCATCTTGGCAACAGGAGAACTTGGATCTCTTACTAATATCTATAAAGCCAGCATGATAGCAATGATGGCAGGTAAGTGTTTTATGTTCAAATGATGTTTTATATTCAAATGATGCTTCCTTTTAGGGGAGGAATAAGTGAAAGCACTAGACTATTACTTGAAAGTGCAGGCCACTTGGACTTTGTTTTTTTTTTTTTTGCACAAGAGATGTCAGATAGTTTCGTACCATATGAAGTGGTCAGGAACTCTTGGCTTTCTTCCGTGTTTCTTGTGGCATTTCATTGCTGCACTATTCTTGAAAGGCAGTAGATGGCTCCCTTGTTAGTGAATTGTCTTCTGTGTTATTCTTTGATTATTCATTCATCAGCATATGCTATACAGGAGTTCCTTTAACTCTGACTTATTCTTCTCTGTGAATTTAAGCTTTTGATTTTTCTTAGAGATATGTTTCCTTATGATCTAAAACAGCCTCTGCTTGTGTTTGTGTTAATTTCTTTTAAAGTTAATACAATACGGAGGTTGTAGGTTGGTTTATTCTTTAACTCTATGGAAAGCAGGTCTATACGTTTAGATGTCCGAGCAGGAAACTTATATTTGATTTCTTTTTCTCACCTTCCAATAAATCAGGGATCAAGTCTTGAGAGCTGAGCCTTTTTACTGTGTGTATACATTTTTTCTCCATTCTGAGTGCTGTACTCTAGACCACTGCCAACCCATAGGGGTTACTTCAGAAGTCTCCTAGCCAGTTTTCCTGCCTCTACTTTTGTCCTCTCCAATCTGTTCTCCACACTGTTGCCAGAATAATTTTTTTAAATGTTAATTTGATTGTTGTACTAAAATCCTTCAGTACCTTCTCCTCATCTTCGAAGATACACGTTCTTTACGGCTGATTTAGAGGAGTGCTCACTTCCTGTCTGCTTGCCTCTCCCAGTTCATGTCCCTGTATGTATTTAATGTCTTCATTTAACTAGTGTCCATTGAAACCTACTCAGTGGACACTGGTTAAATGTCACTGAGCAATATAACTTTATTTGTAGTGTGCTTTTCTAGGTACTTTTGAATAATGTCCCTCAATCTTTCTACCTGGTGATGCAAGAGCTAAGTGCTTGGCTGCTAACAGAAAGGTTGGCAGTTTGAACCTGCCCAGCAACTCTAGAAGAAAGAACTGGTGATCTGCTTTCATAAACATTACAATCCAGAAAACTCTATGGTTTCAACTTTGTAGCACGGGGTCACTAGGTGTCAGAATTGACTGCATGACACCTAACAACAACAAACCTGGGTTTTTTTTTGTTGTTGTTGTTTGTTTTTAAAGGATTCTTTCTAAGACCCCTGCTTGTGACTTTTAGGGGCTCATCATTTCCCCTTCTCCATTTGCATAGAATTATTTGTAGTTTCCTGGAGATGCATCTTCCAAACCGTTTGAGCCTTTGAGCCTACTATGTGCTTGGCTAAAATGCCTTTTGCATTAGCTAAGGAGTTCAGATAACTCCTTAACACCATTCGGAATTCAGTCTAGATATCACCTCTTTCTGGAAGATTTTCCCCTTGGTGCCCTTTTCTCCTCCCGCATCACTTAGCTTTTATCTCCTCTGTGTGCCACCATAGCATTCTTTTTAAAGCCTCTCTCAGATAGCCTATCCTATTAGGATATAATGTAACATTCTAGGCTCCCTACTTTTGTGGACTCAATACTTGGATGAAGATTTTTATACTTTTTGAATACTCTTAGACAAAACGTCCTTCATTGGAACATTACTGAAAAGGAATTGTCCAGTTGCTCTAGCAACTGCTGTTGCTTCAAGAAAATGTACATTCTGGTTGTCTCATTTAGAGCAAATTCTCCAAAACCTGAGAATGAAGAGAAACGGAATAATTTGAGCAGTAACTCTTCAGGTTTGTTGACATTTCAAAGGTCCATGGTAATAGAAGACTCACTGAAACTCTTAGAAACTTGAAAAAAGCCCTGGAGTCTTTGATTAGATTAGACAAGTAATTTCCTTACATTCTCTTTGCGAGGACAAGGGATAGGTAGTCAAGAATTCTGTGATGAAAATATATTTATTCTGGAGATTAGCTTGTCCTATCCTACCTATTGGAGTACTGGTGTGGTGCTATAAGCACTAGACTGGTAACCACAAGGTCGGCAGGTCAAATCCACAAGCTACTCCTTAGAAACTCTATAGAGGGTTGCTATTAGTTAGAACTGACTTGATAGTACTTAACAACACCATAATCCTACCCATCACCTAACACTCATGTTATTGTTAGGTGCCATCAAGGGTCAGTGTGAGTCGGAACCGACTCGATGGCACTCAGCAACAACAATCTTTACATTAGCCCTGTGGTTGATGATAAAATCTAAGGGGGTTAAGTGATTTACTTAAGGCCACAAAGCTAGTATTTTGTATATAGTTATCATTTGAACCCAGGTCTTTTGGCTGGTGGCTTATTACAATAGCACAACTGTCTCTCAAGGCACTGTGCTACATTTTATAATAAATGAAAATTGCAGTTGTGAAGTATAATACATAGTTCCTGATTCATAGTTTACATTTGCTCTCCTGTTAAAACGGTTTATATATTAGATATGAATTTTTTTAAGAATTAAAATCTTTAAAAATACTCGTTTATATTTTTGTTCCAACTTTAATATGTAACTTCACAAAATAATTTTCCAACAAAAATAATTTAACAATTTATGGCTAAATCATATTGCTTCCTACTTTCGTGGTATTGTTTATTTTTGGAAAAACCTGTTTTGTTTAGGTGTACTTTACATTCACTGAAATGTAGATGTTAAAGGTACAGTGTGATGGGTTTTGACATTTTGTATAACCTGTGTAACCACTGCCCCCATCAAGAATTAGATCACTCCTATAGCCCCAGAAATACTCATGGGTCCCTTTGTGGTCAGTTTCCTTTCTGTCCCAGGTTCAACTACTGATCTGATTTTATCACTGTGTATTAGTTTTGTTAGCTTTAGAACATTGTATAAATAGAATCACATGGTATGTTGTCTTTTATTCCTATTTACTTTTCCACTCAAGATAACAACCCTGAGATCCATCTCCGTTGTTCTGTGTAACAAGAAGTTGCTTAGAAGTATTGCATTGCATAAATAAACTGAGTTGTAAAATTTATTGCTATAAAGTTGTGTATAATATTTTCTTTTTGTTGAACTACTGTTTGTAGGTTCTGTAGTACTATCCCTTATTTTATCCTGATACTGGTCATTTTTGTTTTCTTTACTTTTTATTTTTTTTCACCCTTAGTTGAGAAAATAAGAGTCTTGAGAGGATTTGCTAATTTTATTAATCCTTTCAAAGAGCCAGCTGTTTGTTATTTTCTCTATTTTTTGTTTTATTAAATGCTCCTTTAATATTTTCTTTTATATTCTTTCTATTTATTATGGATTTAATTTGTTCTTCTTTTTCTTGCTTGTTATAGTAGGTACTTAGATTATTAGTTGAAGGTACTTTCTAATTTCTCTTGTGATTTTACTTGTGACCCATTTGTTATATAGAATAATGTGTTTCATTTCTAAATAGTTTGTATTGTTTTGGATATCTTATTGTTATTGATTTTTAATTAGCAATTTTGTTATGTTCAGAGGCTATCCACTGAAGACTTTTTTGTCTTTTGAAATTAATGGGACTTTATTTTATGATCTTGAGTCCTGGTGTGATGTTGTAGGATAAGCACTGGAATGCAAGGTCTGGTAATTGTTGATATGGTAGGAGTTAAGGTAGGGAGTCCTGGTATGGTGCTGCAGGATAATGTGCTGGACTGCAAGGTCAGTTTGAATGGCAAGGTCGGTGGTTCAAGCTCACCA